TGAATACTGGTGAGTCACCCTGAATTATTCTCAAATGCTGAGGAGGTCACTAAAACCTTTGAACTTCATTTAAAGCAGCTTCATTTGGATAGAAAATATGTCTTAATCCAAAAATTATTTCCAATCACTTCTTCTGTTCAAAGAATACTCTATGGAAACATTTGATGTTGTAATGAATGAAGACATTTTTCTCCAGATGAAAGTAATGGACAACAAGCCATTTGAGATCACCCCCAAGAAGGGCAAGCTGCAGCCAGGAAAATGTAAGACAATCAAGTTCTACAAACATGACATGGCTGGTACAGACAGCCTTCCGGTCCTACTCAAGGAGACCTCAGGCAGGGAAATATTGGTATGGGATGTTTTGGATACACCTTTGTTTATTCATTTTTATGTCACTACCCCAAGTCATGACATATTGTTACAGTCTCCAATGTTTTTGTAGACTGTTCGGCATTTGGTTGTTGGTGTTCAACAGGGTAACTGGACAACTCATTCCCTAGACAACTCATCCCTGGACAACTCATCCTCTGGACAATTCATCCCTGGACAACTCATCCCCTAAGCAAATCATCCTTCGGCATGTTTGAGTAATGTAATGTTATACATTATCAATTCATGTTTGATATTCAAATGATTTTTTTAATGTTTTAGTTTGAATATGATCAGATTTAAGTTACATAAACATATATAACACGAACAAATAATTTTTGGAGGGGAAATCTTTACTGTTAGAAAACCAAGGAGATTAATCAATTAACCAATTAATCTGTGATTTGTTTTGTAAATATTTACTTTTAAATTTTACTTTTAATATACAATTTTGATATTGTATTAACATTGATAAAAGAAGCTTCTTTGATGTCATAAATATGCTTGTTCAGTTCATAACTCAAATATTCTTTAATCCTAGGATTATTTTTTTACAGTATTCACAGATGAAAACATTTACAGATAAAGTTCCTATAGTTCATGTTTTCAAGTTTTAATTTCATAATTTTGTGTCAATAAAGTGAAAAATAATATTTTGGATGATCCAAGGTGTATTTATTTGATATTTCCTTTCAAAAAATCACTTTACAAATTAGCTTCGTGTGATAAAGGATGAGTTGTCCAGGGGATGAGTTGTCTAGGGGATGGGTTGTCCAGGGGATAAGTTGTCCAGGGGATGAGTTGTCTAAAGGATGAGTTATCCAGGGATGAGTTGTCTAGGGGATGACCTGTCCCCAAGCCAAAAAGTGGTGACATTTTGCATGTTAATGCCTTGTCTTTGAATATGTGACTTCTCCATCCAACATCATCCATCATCATTTTTTGATTGAATCTAACTGTTCATCATCTAGGTAAAGTGTCAAAACTGGATGCTCAATAACTTTAAGTTACTATAATCCCTTAACTAGAACAATGGCAACGCCAACGCGTAGCGAATCCCATCGAACAGCCATGGAATACAAGGAAAGTAAGCAATGTTTTGGAGGATATGCTTCAAACTTTTTTTGTATAAATTACTCTTTTAGTATTTGCACTTGATATTTTTTCGATTCTGGTATATTGAAATGCATTGTCTTTGATGTCAATATTCTTCATATATCGTCATACAAATTGTTATTTCTGTACTCTCAGAAGAAGGATAAGATGTTAAGGGTTAACAATACTAGCAATCTACCTTTTGGAGTGGCTCACCAAGGGGAACATCAGTCCCGACATGACAGCAGCCCCCATAAAATGCTAATTACCTGTAAATTGATCATTTGACCTTGCCTGATTCTTGAATTGAGGTGATCTTGTCCAAAAGACCTAAAAACATCAAATACCTAGATATTCACCTTTGACTTTGAGATGACCTTGGCCCATAAACATTGACTTTGACCTCATATAGCCTAATCATGAGTCACCAAGTCACAGTATCTTTTAAGTGCCTTAAAACGCCAAATACTTAGATATTGACCTTTGACCTTGACCCATGAACAATGACCTAAGGTCACCTAATCAAGGGTCACAGCAGCCTCCAAGGTGCTTAAAATGCCAAATACTTAGATATTGACCTTTAACCTTAAGATAACCTTGACCCAAAACATTGACCTTCACCTTAAGTCAACTAATTATTGGTCGCCAAGGGTTGCAGAAGCTGGCCTTAAATCATCAAATGCCTAGATATTGACCTTTGACCTAGGATGTCAAATACCAAGATATTGACCCTTGAGCTTGGAATGACCTTGACCCATAAGGTTGATCTTTACCTCAGGTCACCTAATGATTAGTCACCAAGGGTCACAGCAGTTTCAATGACCTTAAATCACCATAAACCTAAATGTTGACCTTTGAACTAGGAATGACCCTGACCTCAGCTCACCTAATTATGGGTTGCCAAGCGTCACAACAGCTCCGAAATGAATTAAAACGCCAAATTCTAAGATATTGATCTTTGACCTTGGAATGACCTGAACCCATAATGTTGACCTTGACCTCAGATCACTTCATCATGGGTAGTCAAGTGTCAAAGCACAAACCAAGATCTTAAAAATTCAAATACTTAGATATTGACCTTTGACCTTGGAATGATCTTGACCTCTGACCTTCGTAGAATGCTCACTGCCCCACTTAGTATGTTGACCAAGTATAAGGGCCCAAGGTCAAACCATCTAGGAGGAGATGTCTGGACAGACAGACAGACAGACAGAAAGACAGACGGACCACCACGCTTTATAGTAAGAAGATGTGTGACTGAGTTGGTTTTTCATACTTCAATTTTCGATAATTTTTAAGGCAATACCCTGACTCATTCCTTGACGTTTGAAGTTTCTTAACTTTTGAAATGTTTGATAAAAAATAGATGTGTTTAAATGTTATCTATACATTTCAAATTTAATTTCAGAATGGTACAGATGATGTTAGGAAGAAATCCCAAAGCTAAAGAGGTGTCGAGAAATACCCGACATTCACAAAAAAACATTAGTTATTTTTTATCATAGTGGTGTATGATCCTCACTACCAAGTGTATGGCCTCAGTATATGTACTGACTTAGAAACTATGGAGAATGATATCTACATCCACCATCAACTTCGAATACTGACAATGAACATTTGTGTTAGTTTAACATCAACAAGGTTAACATAATGTTAAAAATATCAATGAATGATTTTATATTGATGAGGGTGAAAGTACTGGAATTTTTATTTAATTGACTGTATAATTTTTGCTATTTATATGGTTGCCGTAGTAAAGAATGACTGAAGGTATTGCAACAGATTTCAGACAATCACATGTTGGATTTTAGGTATTTTCTAAGGATTTGATCAAGTGCATATGTTAGGCCAATCCATTAACTCCAGGACAAGCACTTATTGAGATGATAAAATAATTTGGACTTTGAGACAGGGGAGGTGCAAACACCCGACCAACATTTTTTCTGACATGTTGTCCTGATTTTCAAACCTTCCACTAAAGTTTTCTAAATGTTTTATGCATCAATATGTTGTATTTGGAGACACAAATAAACTCTTAAAAGAAAAATAGGATTCAAGCAGGGATATCACTTTTCGGTGACCAAAACTAGGCTGAAAACAATGGATCGCATGTGTTTTCCCTATGGGAAAATAACGTGGTAGAAACTGTTTTCCACTTTATCCCAGTTGAATCCTATTTTCTTTTTAGGATATTAACTGTGTCTAGAAATGCAACATATTAATGCGTAAAACATTATAAAAAAGAGTGGAAGGGGTTGAAAATCAGGAAAACATTTTTGAAAAGAAATGTTGGTGGGGTGTTTGCACCTTCCCTGTCTTGAAGTCCAAATTATTTTATCATGTCTATGAGTACTTTTCCTTTAGATAATGCATTGACCTAACATATGCACCCTTTTTTAAATTTTCAGAAAATTACCACAATCCAACATGTGACTGTCTGAAATCTTTTGCGATACCTTCCGTCATTTTTTAACCTATTGTACATTTACATATTGTAAATTTACACTGATAATGATTGAGGTGAGAACTCACTTCGAGACTAGATCTTAAAGTTATTGTAGTATTTTAGTGTCATTGTAGAGTTGACCATAGGGCATACAGCAAATTGGAGGTGATTGTAAATTTTCTATATACGTCATAGCATAGGTATTTCTCAATAAGGATATGTTATACAGCTACATATTTATGATGGTTGGCATTTTCCTTCTTCAGAAAACTATATCTACCATTGATTTGCTGTATTCCTTGTAGTGACTTTATAATTTTTATGGTTACCCTAATGGCTATACAGTATGCTGTATAGTGACCCTGAGACAATAATAAATAGGGTCATTAGTATTTCTCTATTTTGGGAAAGTGTGTCGCCATAGAATTCCCAACTCTGTGGCGACTGTAGGTTTTCTTTGGTTGCTGTACAGGCTACCTTGTAGAAGCTACAATGTGTAAACTTTCACCGATAGAGGTGGGGAGAAGGACTCAATTAGAGTTTGATTCTTGAGTTGAAAGTAAAATTAGTATTGCACTCTATGCAGACTGTGCTATATGAAAGCAAGCAGTGTGTATATCAAGTTTGCAAGGTGCGGATATTAAGGGTCATTTTTGAATTTGAATTTGTGATATTTCACAAACTAAGGCATGTTGGGTACTCAATTATTCAGGGTGGGCCAAAAAAAGCCACTTTTTTTCAAAATGCTATAACTTTTTAATTTTTGATATAAAATCATAATTTGTTTACCAAATGAAACTTGAGGTTGGTATCTAGCCATGGATCATGAATTATACACTTTTACTTGAATAAAATATGTCACCAGCGTCTCACTTAAACATGTGGTGTGCCATGAGAAATAAGCATAATTTGCAAAATGTTCCTGAACTAATATGGCCTGATGATCGCCAAACTAATAGCCCTGATGCAAACCCCACTGAGTATAGGGTTTGGGAAGGTCTCAAGAATATTGTATGAAGGCACCCAATCTAGAAAATTGCTCAACTAAAGCTGGCAATTAAGACAGGTTGAGAAAAACTTAGCTAACATTTCATTGATACTGCTATATCAGCAAAGCGAATAAAACTAAAATATATTACAATTAGGGTGGCGGACCATTTGAACTCCCCTTTAGATCAAATATAATCCAAGTTGGAGCACTTGTTACATTATATTATTACTAAGAACCCTTGGCACTATATAACTGCAAAAGGACGATTCTCGGTTTGGAGAACGAAGTTCATCAATCTAAATGAGCATTATCCCTGCTTCGGACAAATTTGATTTTTTTACATAATATAGATTTGAATGTCTTCTTTTGAATAGTCATAATTTAATTTGGGTAATATATCTAGATTTTTCGCAAAACAATATTAGCGCAGTACACTGATGAACTTCTTTCCCAAAATCGAGACTTGTATTTTATTGAATCGGTCAAATTGAGCGCTATCCATGCTTCAGACCAATTTGTTATTTTTACATCTTGTAGATTTAAATGTCCTCTTTTGAATATTAATAGTTTAATTTGGGTAATATTTCTATATTTTTCATGAAAAAAATTATTAGCCCAGGAGACTGTTCTCCAAACCGAGAATCGTCCTTTGGTGTATGTAGGTTGGAAAATAAAAAAGTTGTAGTGTCTTCAAAAGAAAGTGGCGTTTTTTGGCTTGCACACAAGATATCCACACTGTTTGTTTTATTTAGTATAGCACAGTCTGTATAGGGTGTATTGCAATTGTAGAGATGACTGGATGTCATACAGCAACCTTGAGGTTGTAGGTTTTCTACATTTGTCGTAACATAGATATTTCTCAATTGGGATACATTGTACAACAACCTTAAAGACTGGTTATTGTTGGTATTTCTCTACTCCAGGGAACTACGTCATCTTTAGAATTTCTTTATTCTTGAGGTGACCATATAATGTTTCTGGGCTGTATATTGTACAGTGACCATGAGAAGACTGTAAATTTTCTATGGCTGTCGGCATTTCTCTATTTTTGGGAAACTGTCCGCCATAAACTCTGTTGCGACTGTAGATATGCTTTGGTTTCCATAGAGGCTACCTTGTAAATTTATACACTAACTTTACACTGATAGAGATTGAGGAGAGGACTCAATTAGAGACTAGATCCTGTGGTGAATTTAGAATTTCTATTGTTATTGTAAAGGTGACTGTGTGTCATTCACCAGCCTTGAGGTGACTTTAGATTTTCTATATTTGTCAAAGCATAGGTATTTCTCAATTGGGATATGTTGTATGGCAACTTTGGATTTCTATGGTAGTTATTGGCAAATTTCTCCTACAGAGAACTATGTTTGTAATAGACTTGCCATATTCCTTGTTGTGACCATATAAATTATATGATTACCATTGAGGCTGTACAGTGACCTCGAGAAGACCGTAGATTTTCACGGTAGTTTGTATTTCTCTATTTTGGGAAACTGTGTCCGCCATAGATTTGCCTTAGACTCTGTGTCAACGGTAGATGTGCTATGGTTTTCATAGAAGCTACCTTGTAAATTTACACACTGTAACTTCACACTGATAGAGATTGAGGAGAGGACTCTATTAGCGACTAGATTCTAGAATTTCTTTTGTCATTGTAAAGGTGACTGTATGTCATACAGCAGTCTTCAGGTGACATTAGATTTTCTAAATTGGCATTTCTTTACTTACAGAGAGATATATCTGCCATGACTGTATTCCTCGAGGTGACCATATAGTTTCTATTGTTACTGTAAGGGCTGTAGATTATAGGTTGTATGATGTACAATGACCTTGAAGCAACTGTAGATTTTCTACACTGTTGTTGGTATTTTCTACATTTGTGAAATTGTGTCCATCAATATATTTGTGTATGGTTTTTGGCAAACAGCTCATTTTAACTAAAATGCGTCCTCTATTTATAGTATGTATAATTGGGACTTCCAAGATGTGTGTTTGGAATTTCTGTAAATATATCATAGTCTAATCGATTCTTAATCAATAATATCAAGGTTGATCAACATGTCCGGATTTTCTTTTACTAATTTTCATGAGTAATAATTGCTGATACAAGAGTCGGTCAAAAAGTTTCTTACCATTGGCTTTAGATTTTATAATAACAGGAGTTGGATGATCAAACTTTAACCAGAGACGGGGTAGCTAGTTAGTGTTAAAGTTTTAGCATCCAACTCCTCTTATTAAAACATCTAGAGCCAACGGTAAGGAATCTTTTGATCTACCCTTGTACTCAATGGATGTTCGTGTATTTTCATATTTGTCTATGTATTCTACTATAATATGCAAAAATGCATAAAAAATAATGTGAAAGTATTATACATTTTATCAATCATCTATAATTATAATCATGGATATTATTATATTATTATTATTGTATTAGTAAAGTAGTATCATCATACGTACCTATCTTAAATCAAAAGTGTTATTTACTAATCTAATGACAGTGTTGAAGTGCTTATGTTATCATTAACATTAATATTTTATTTGTGTAAGGGAACATAGACAAACACACAGCAAAAACAATATCATGGAACAAAATCAAATCATAATCAAAGATGTGTCACGCATAATCAATTGCTGTGTACCGGAGTTTCTCGCGAATAGGCCCATGTGCGTTTATTTGAAAGAGGGGTGTATGAAAATATGTTTTCCCTCTTTATAAAGGCCCATGGGCGTTTATTAAAAATCTTTTAAATAAACGCCCAGTGGGCGAAACATTCGAGAAAAGGAATGAAATTGCAAACAATAAATATGTAAGGTAATAAGTGATAACTGTCGTTCAAGTACAAATGATTAATAAAAAATATGACTAGAGGTCACATATTGGTCAACGTTCTTGCCTGCGTTCATGATACTAGTGCGTGAGTATGAAGGCCATGTGTCAACTTTACAATTGATAATATCCCTCGAAATAAACGCCCATTAGCTTGGGAAAGTTATTTTCCCTCTAAATAAACGCCCACCCTCCTTGGAAAAATGTTTTTTCCTCTTAATGAAGGCCCATGAGCGTTTATTAAAAACTCTAGGTCTTTTCGCGAGAAACTCCATTACTATTGCTTCTCTTCCAATGCGTTGATTGAGATGTCTGAATGTAGCTGTTTTTAATCAAAAGAAGGGGGTACATAAGAACATTTTAGCCTCAACTGTTTTGTATTTATCCATATTATGTGGTATATGTGCTGCAAAAAATGTATAAAAACTTTATATGACTAAGTTCTGATGTTTTAACCAGAATTCTAAAAAATATGTTTCATACTCCAATAAGCCTAGGTACGTTACCTGTTAAATCCCCATTTAAATTGGGAGAAATTCCGATTTTTGAGTGCTCGTCCCGAATTTTATTTTCTCAAAACCAGTATTTTAAGCATCTTCATTCACAAA